GCACCGGTGAAGGCCGGCACGCGAAAGGGTGTGGGTGGCCAGCACCACGCCCGGCCGCCTTTGTCTCCTCAGTGGTAATGTTTACACACCGCACCAGCTACCCATTTTTAAGGCTGCGTAGACCTAGCGGAGGACCAGGAACGTTGCAAATAATCGTCACTTGTCGGTTGTGAGTGAGAGCTCGGGTTGCTGGGTCTGTAGTGCAGTGCACTAACCACTGCGCCACCGCTCCCCAAGTACACACACACATGCTGTTTTGTTGCAACGCTAAAATATTGTGTATTTGGAGTGCGGGCAGAGGGATATGCAAATTGGTTTGAACGTACATTATACATCATGTCTAAATAATTTGTATGGCAAGTTTAAATAATTTAATTTCATGCATTTAAAATACGAGAAAGTGTCAGTTAATTTGCACGACAGCGGCAGCAGAGGGTGGACCGCAGTGCGGGGCTACACAACAGCGTCCAGACGCAGCTGCGGCTGCTGCGGCTGTACCTGCTGCAGCAGCTGCTGTAGCTATTGCAGCTGTGGCTCCTGCATCTGCGGCTGCTGCAGCTGCAGATGCGGCTGTTGCTGTAGCTGTAGATGCTGTAGTTTCTGCTGCTGTAGCTACTGCTGTGTAACACCGGCTGTGATGCTTTGACATTTCTTAGTACGATAATTGTTGCGCATCTCCGAATTGAGAAAAAAATAATGGCAATGTAGCCACTCCTGCTAGAAGGCAAAAATACATCGTATATTTCACCGCAGTCCTGTACAACTTATGTAGAAGAGTAGGCCAGAAATACCCACTAGTGGGACTCTATGCCCCTTATGTCGGCAGTGGCATGAGCATGCAATCACAGGGCTGTACCGATACCCTTTTATAATAATTTCAACTTGTAGTGAGCAGCACGGCATTTGCTCACTCTCAAAGAGAGACTCAGGTGCAAGGAGGAACCACAGACAATCTGCAAAGGCCACGCGATGACCTGGCACCAAATTCCCTTTCCAAGTTCTGCACGTCTCTAAATATTGAGATGTTACGGGCCATTGAATGAGTGTTTACATGCCAGAGGAAACCGGAGCACTTGGAAGAAATCCCACGCATGCGAGAGGGGGGGGGGGACTCAATCCCATACAAACAGAACCAAGTGGAGTCCACATTTTTGCCGCATTCTCCTGGCAAGCAAGCCAGGAGAATGCATCCACGGGAAGGGAATTTTACCACGACGTTTGCGCGATCCGCCAACCCTCACTGCCTTCGTAGTGCTGGATCACAGGGCCACGTGCTTAGCCACCACCGCACCACGATTTAATTCGGACGACTAAACAAAAATCGCCGCCGTTAACGCCGCGGCGGTCGTTAGAAACGACTCGGGCGACGTCCGTGCGCCCCTGCAACGCGGCGGCGGCGGTGACGACGTTCGTCCATGGTGCGGCCGCAGCGGGCACCGAGCGGCGCTCACCAGAGGCGCCGTTGGGGCCAAAGCGACCGCCGCTTGACCCGCCGTTCCCAACCCCGACGTGAACCAAACCCCGGCCCCCGCGGGCTCCGTCAGCTCCGTCAGTCGCTCGCCGCGTCGCACGCGACTCCGTCTCCCGGGACGGCGTCGCTCCGCTCGGCGGCGCGCCTGTTTGCCGCTGTGCCGCCCGCACCGACCACCCACACCCCACCACCGAGCCGGCGTGATTGGCCTCGACGCCCGCTCGCCTTCCGTTATTTATCGCCGCCGTCAATATTTCATCGCGCGGGGCGGCCGCGCTAATCTGCGCTCGTCTTGTTTACGCCCGTATTGTATGTCAATGAGCGGGCAGGGAGGAGAGGGGGGAGGCAAACCCGCCACCACACACCCCCACTCCCAACAACTACAGCTTGTTCTAGATTCTGTGAAGCTGTGAATCTAGATTCTGTGAATCTGTGAATCTAGATACTGTGAATCTTCGCAAGGCCCCCACGGGCCACTGGTGGCCACTAGTGGCCTTTAGCGCGGCCCCTGACGTGCGGCCCCCGACAATACACACAGAGAGACAACACTCCCCATCACCACCATCATCATCGTGCTGCTGTCAAACCCACAATGGTTTCAAATGTGTGGCGGCCCTCACGCTGATGATGTCTTATGGACAAAGGTGCATCCCTGCAATTGCTTGCTCACGCCACTGGCCGGCGGAAGTTGCCTGCACCGCAGGAAGCTCAAGAGAGCCCCCCTCTCGATTGTACTTTGGCCTACTCTTCCATTCCAGCCACACATGCGTGGTGCCAATTAATGAGCAGCGGTTGAACCCATTGACACTGCTGGGTGGATAAGAGGCGGAGGGCTTCCAGCAACTTGCACCATTGTTGTTTTAAACACCGCCTATGGGGATTGAACCCGGTGACCTGCGGATTGCAAGTCCAATGGGCTGACCATTTACATCGTGACAGAATCCCAACGCAAACACATCCTCGATCGAGACGCGTGAGCAGAGAAGTACTTGTTTGTTGCAAAACAGACCCTTGCCTGTGCATTGTTCAAATTGCCCCATACGGCACTCAGATTGACCGAGGGTAGACTTATGATAGACACAGAGTGCATACATAGGTAGATTAGAGACAGCCAGATAGATAGATTATACTGTGTACAGAAAGATAGATAAACTACTGATCGCGTGCTGCTAAGCGCTGCAGTTACTCTCCGATGACGGGCACACACTCGCGGCTCCGCGTGGATCCCTTTGCTAAATTCATGGGCGAAGACAAGATTCATAAATGTAGGGAGCGTATGGCCTGGCTTGTTTATTGATATGCGTGTTTGTGTGTGCGTATTTACGAGGGGACTGAATATTAAATGCATGCGCAGTCACACACGCGCCGATTTACATTTCGGGAAAGTGACCTCCAATATCATTGCACTTATTATTTTATATATACAGTATCAGGGTTAATATATAAACAGGAATTGTATCGAAATATATTAATCGCTTGTCATACTGTACATACAGTTGTATGTGAGGGTTATGGATGGGTGCCCTCATTTCAGATTACGGAAATAAAAATAATCAGAAGTAAGGCCTTAACGCAAAATTTGAGATGGCAACGATCAGAAAGTACATCTGAAAATGTCCTTAAACATCTCAAAATTCGAAATGTGTTTTTTATTTGAAGCTCATCACTTGTAGGCATGTGCATATGCGCGTGTGGGCATGTGTGTATGGGGGAGTGGTGGTGTCGTCTCGTGGTTATCGCACTGCGTTACGAACCTGGTGACCCGACTTCAAGTCCTGCTCACGGTCAACATCATCGATGATTTTTTTAACCAGTCAAGGGCCTCCCCTAAGTCGACTCAGCCTCAAATGAGTACCTGGTGCGGTGTGTAAACATCGCCACTAGGGAGACAAAGGCAGCCAGACGTGGCGCTGGTCACCCATTCCCTCGTGTGCCTTGCTGGCATTTATAGGTGCTCGCTAACAGCACTTGCCCCAACAGTCTGTTAAGGCCGCACAGGGGATCTTTGTCTTTTATATATGGACTCGCCTTTTGCCCGTCCAAGGACGGGTGTCTCGCAGTAAATCTGAAACTTGCAAGCGAAAAGCAGACCGCGACGTGATATTCATTGCATCAATTCGTGTGCAATTTGTAAGGGCGCGGTGACACAGACCTATTTAATGCTAAGATTATAATCCCTTGTTCATCATGACGTCCTTTTTACTTCTATGTCTCAATAGCGTTAGGGAGATCACGTGACGTGGGGGTTCTGCCTTTGTAGTGAGGGTTGTGAGTTGACGCCGAGGAGGGGGGAGGAGGCACCTCGCCCCCCCATGTGGAGTGACGTCAGCCGCTAATTATTATTAATGGCGGTGTGGGTGTCCATTTGGAGGACGTCATCTGTTAATGATTATTAATGAGGGGGGCTGTTCGATGTGGAGTGACGTCACCTGCTCATGAATATTAATGAGGGGGGAGGGTGCTCCATGTGGATTGACGTCACCTGCTCATGATTATTAATGAGGGGGGGTCCATGTGGAGGACGTAACCTGTTCATGATTATTGAGGGGGGCTGGTCGACGTGGAGTGACGTCACTTTCGCATGATTATTAGTGAGGGCTGGGGGGGTGTCCATTTGGAGACGTCACCTGCTCATGAATATTAATTAGGGGGGCTGGTCGATGTGTAGTGACGTCACGAGCGTTAAGGACAGACATTCCTGGGTGATTATAGTAGGTATGTGTCTATTCATATATATGTACAGGTGTGTACACTTTATAATGCGTATGCATTGGTAACGTTACATAGGTGATGTCTGCTAACGTCATATCTGTGACTGTACACAAAAGCAGCAGTCCACTGCCAAAAATATGTTCGCACAATTCCACATTACCACGTGGCCAAGACATTTTTACTGCAACAGTGGTATTACTAAATGTGAACGACCTTGCAAAAGCAGTGGCCACCTTTTAACTCGTCTTCAAGACACATTATTAATAGAGGCCACGTGAAATATTTTGGGCTTGCTTGTTGTGTTGGCAAATGTTTATTTTAGTCTGATAATTGTTGCCAAAAATGGAACGATATCTCCTCTACTGGTCCCCTAACAGCCCTGCTCGGGTGTGCTGGACAGATACCACGTGGTTCTATCTCTCCTCGATTCACAAACCCCACCGATTTATTCCCAGCCCGTGTTGTTTGGCTGACTGAGCAGTGCATATTTACCACGATGTATTTAATGTTCCTTCGTCTCACTCTGTCTCTCTCTCTCTGTACCTCTGTCTGTCTCCTTTGTCTCTGTCTCTCTCACGGTATCTTCCTCCATATCTCTATGACTTCCTCATCTCTCTGCCTCACGCTGTGTCTCCGTCTCTCTCTGCCTCTCCACGTGTTTCCTTCTGTTACTTTCTGCCGACGCTCTCTCCGTCTTTACATCGACTTCTTCCTCTTTCTCTTCCGTCTGGCTGGCTACCTCTCTGTCTACGCACATCTCCATCTCTCTCCGTCCCTCGCTCCCTCCGGGCCGCATGCCGCGCCCCTCCGACCACAGACATCCCTTCCACGTGAAGGAGGAGCCGCTGGAGATGGACGACAACAACGTCCCCATTTCTCTGATGGCGTCGGCCCCGCACAGCCCCGAGCTGGAGGATGACAAGGACACGGAGGAGGAGGAGCCGCTGATGAACGACGAGCTGGAGTGAGAGGGGGGCCGCCGGCGCCGACTCGGCGACGGCGCGAGGGGGCACGCGTCCACGTCCGCCGGCTCGGAGAACGGCGGACGGGCGGAAGGGCGACTCGTCGCTCGTGCGTTCTCGCCCCCCCCCCCTTCCCCAGCGACGCGATCCTCAAAAGTCCAACCGCCACCACCTCCACCGCCGCCCACGGCGCTTACTACGCAAGGTGGCGGCAGTGCTTGCTTTTCCGGACCGAAAAACGACGAGAACAACAAGAAGTCAGAATACGTGACGTATGAAAACAAGTGACAAACTGCCGTGAGCAGCGTACGCACCCTGCGCGCCGATGATGTCTTTTGTAAAGGATCGGATGGTCCCACGTGAACATTGTGAGGTGGTTTGACATCGCCGTGGTCACAACGGCGGTGGTGCAACAATGGTGGCGACGGCAGCGACGGCGTGAAGAGCATCTTCTTCTCGGTGATGCTGCATTCAAAACTCCACGAGACTGAAATCTTCCATTTTGCTTTGCGCCCCTGCGGACGGGAAGCCAGCATCGAAGACAAACGCACGAACGGAGCGGGCGTTTAACCCAACCTGAGGAGGGTTTTAATCAAAAACGACATTTGCCAGTATTAACTCGACGTGAAGTGTACATTCTGCGGCCGTCTTGTTTACGGTCCAAAGGCATCCGGCGTCATCTCCTCGTTTTAACCACGGGCTGTAGCACTTACCGGAGCGCAACTCCCTCTCGCCGTGTTGGAAGCCGTACCGGCTGGGGGCCAACCTGCCGGCCGGTTAAACCGTGCCGCCAATTTTACACGGAACTGGTCAAGCTGAAGTTGCTTCTCGAAAAGTTGACACCGACTCACGACGCACGCGTGGTGCGCGCATTGACTAAACGTGCAGTTGTAGAATACGGTTATTAACGTTATTTGTCGTTTTTACTTTTGCATTTTCTTTACAAAAAAAAACACACACACTTTCGAAAAAACTAAAAATTAATTGTCGTGTATAAATGTTTTAACGTGCCAAGTTTGCGTTGGGGTAGGTGCATTGCCCAGCTGGTGAAGTGTTGACATCCTGGCTCTGGCTTGGTGTGTGTGTGGCACACTGCCAGTGAAACGTGTGGCTTCACAATACACAGAGGAGCCACTCAAATGAATATGAGGAGGATGAGCGGTAGTGGCGACTGGGCAACTCAACTGTAACGCTACGCCGAAAAAGCCCTCTGCACAACCTGCGGTGTGTAGTCTGTCTGCATAATCCGATCTCTTAAGTACCTCTTTACCTCTGTTCACCTCCGATGTTAGAAAAATACAAAAGTCCTCATTTCTTTTGTTACCGGTGCAAACCAAAGGTTTACCGCGGCGTTCCAAAATGCTCAAAAAACAAAATGCTTTATCTTACACCGTCTACCTGCCCTGTGAGTGGCACGTCTACCAAATTGCTTCACGGACGTCTCTGTAGGATTGCAGAGAGAGAGAGAGGGGGGGAGTGAGGGGGGGGGGGCTCTTGGCCACCTTTGACACTGACCCCGCCACGACAAGACACGACAGAGAAACACGAGGATTGGTGTCCAGCGACCGCGCGTTTGCTGATGTGCTCGCCGGAGTGTGTCGCCCGCTTCTGGGACGGACGGCGCTGAGAAGAATACGCACGTCGCGTAGCAGAGCGAAACGAAACAAACACACGAGACTCGGTCTTGCGGGGATTTACCGCGCGGTGGCAAACGTCGCGTTCGAAATGTCGAAAGCGCTCAACGATCCCTCAAGCGTGTTTCTCTCTCGCCGCCTGTGCACTGCCATCGTCTTCGTCTCCTTGATCACCCTACAAGAGGGATTTGAAAACTGATTTTTTGTTTCCGTTAAAAAATATCGCAAGGTGTGAGGAATTTCACGGAGCAAGGTGGCATGATCATAAAGGAGAGAAAGATGAATTGGCAATGCTAAAATAATTTCTTGTTTTTTTTTAGCTAAGTTTGAACCCAACGGGAAAGGAGATAGAGTTAAGTGGAGGATGGTCTTATTAAATAATAATATAAATACAGGTATACATTTTGTCACTGGTATGTCAAATTAAAGCACTTGTGTTACACTCAACAGACCTCTACAGTTACTTGCTACTAATAAAATCGCTACCTGATTACCAATGCTTCCTAGAGACCAAAAAATGTATCCCAACTACAATCCCTCTAATTTTCAACAGACCTCAAGTACACTCGTTTCACTCTGTGTCATGTCGCCAGGTGCTGTCGCTTGCTCATGTTTGCGCACGTGTGGTGTTTGTGGCGGTTGGATTGGATTCGTGGTGATGCTGAGAGCTTAAAGCCTGGTTTCCTTTAGTCTAAATGTCAATCACCGATCCAAACGCGCATTTAAATATATTTAAACAACTAACGACGACATTTAACAATATTCAAGCCGTTCTCTTGAATTACAAAACAAAAAAATAACAACAGTATTTAACTCCAGAATTCTGGACACGTGATTTGTTTTCAAAAGTATGTTTTGTGATTTTTTTAAATATATACGTTCACTGTTAAATTAAATATTTTATGGTAAATATTAACGCCCCCTTTTGTGATGGTTGACCTTAAATTAAAAAGTTTCAGTAAAGTTGTTTTTGTTTAAGTCGATATATGTTTGAATTAACACTGCGCACCCCTATTTAAATGGTCTTGACTGTGGAAGTCAGTCGCTGGTAATTTATAAAATGTTGTCTTTTGAATACACTCATGTTGAATGCTTTCCACAGGCAGCATAGGACCCACATGCTTGGAAATTTGGCTTTGATTCACCTTCGGTCATTTGTGCTGTTTGCCCGTATTTTAAAGACACACCATTTGCTGTTATCCATATTTATTTCGCTCGCTCTTTTTTGCCAAGTGTAATCTCTGAGATTGCCAAAGATGGTTCGGATATACAGTACCTTCTTTAAGTAACAACCAAATAGCAAGACGCGGGCCCCTTTTAAGGAGGTGGCAAAGAAACTATTCTGTTGACCAAAATGCATTGCATCCAAAAGGCAAGCATTCCCTTCACGTCAGGCGAAGTGTAATGAACCAAAGTTTTCTCTCTGCGACCGTCGTTTAAAAAAATAGCGGTAAATGTTGACACTTAGCACCCCACCCACCCACCCGCCATCCCTGCCTCATACTACCGCGCTCAAGTCTCTGCTATGAAATCTCCGCGGCTCGAGGCACGCCGCCAGATCCGTTTCTGTTCCAATTCACGGAGCGCGTTGCGTCGACGCAGAGGCCCGCGACCTCCTTTTCAGGGCCCTGTCGAAGGCGACAAACGGACATTGCGAGCAAAAAACAAACAGACAGACGTTGAGTTCTTGAAGCGAGAGACGTTGTCGAAACCGAGAAATATACCTTTTAAAACAAACAAAAAAGCATCGATCGTGACACTAAGATGTACGCGTCGAGTTATCCGTAGCGCACGTGTGATGTTGACGGTTTAACATTTAATTTTGAGGAAACCGTTTTTGAAAAAAAATGTTTGTCTGATATCCATGCATGATGTAACATTGTGTGATTGTTGTGGATTTAAAATCGGGTTTAACGCTTTCGCCGGAAGCGGAAAACCGTGAAGATGTTTATGACGTGGGGAAGAAGAAGAAGAATTACAAAGAAGTTCATGCATTTACTGCCCTCCAAGCTCTCCGTCGACTCAGCACTAAATGAGCAAAGCTTTACAAAGGATAATACCTACTCTAGAGCATAGGGTGGCTTGTCACAGTTACAGTATTTGGGAAATTTTACGACAGAAAAAATTCTGAAGTGAATAACGTAGTGTAGTGATATTAACTCAAATGCGACCCTATATCTTTAAACAAACAACACACACACACAGGTGTTCTGTTAGCGAGTAGGCGGTAGCTTAAAGCTCGAATATAAGTCGCATATTATTGTAAATAAGGTTAATGTGTAATTATGACAACATAACACACAAGCGTGACATCTTTAGAATGCATACCTCAACTAGATTAAACCTCTTTGAAATAAAGTACAGTTTGCACTTAGCTGTAAAAATAAATTTGCATGATTTTAGCAGATACACGTTAGTTTGTATATTCTTAGCCTTTGAGGTGGATGTTTGAAAACAGTGAACACTTCACTTGTGTGTTGGTGATCTTTACGATGTGGCGTTTTGCTCAAAGCAAAAACTGTTTTCTGCTTCTTCTTTACAAAGAATTCCTTTGTAGTCTATATAATTTTGTTTTTATTTCATCGCAAGAAGTAAATGTAATATCCCTCTTACCAACCTGTTAACGACATGGTATTGAGATTATACTGAAATACATGGAAAAGATGTGTTTTGATGTACTATTATCGTTCCCGTTGGAATTGTTTTCCACTTTCGTTTTAATTATTTCTTGTTGTTATCATTGCATAGGTCGTTTTTTGTTTCGTTTGTTTGTTTTTTTACAAAATTGCTTCTTCTGTATACTGTAGTAGATATGACTTAGTAAAACGAAATGGCTTGGTATTTGTGACAATGCTTTGTATTTAACTGTCATGCTCGTAGCTGGAGAAGAAGCCCTGAATGCATCATATGTACTTTAGCTTAACATGAAATCAGCTGTACCATTTTACATTTGCTTTGAACTGAATAACACATTGAGAGCTCTTAGTTATTAATGCTTGGACACACCTTTGTCTTTACATGTGACGGTGTAATCACGTGCAGGAGGCTCTAAGGCTCCACTCACGCAGCTCTGGCGGAGTGACACACCACGTGATCCGAGCTTGCCGAGAGATGAGTCGATCCATTCCGATGTTTTTTTTTACTTTTACGGTTTATTTTCTGTGACTTAATAAAAATTCAAGATTGGACCAAAACGCCAAACGGAGTATCTGATACAGTAACGTGTAATTCGCAGCTTAAAGGTCTTATGATTTTTATTCGTTAAACTTACCTTTTTAAGTGCCAAGGATAAAAAAAAATGATAAAGTTTAAAAAAAATAAAGTGGTTGAACTTGGTTCGATATTCGGTGTGTTTCAATGCGCAGCTGGACTCACACCTCCGAGATCTGTAGAGCCGCGTTCACACGAAGCGGCCTGCTGTGAACCCACTCCCCGACTCGCTAACGCTCACGCACTTCTACAGGAGATGTGGGCAGCGATCTTCGAAGAGTTGGGAGCACCCACGCCTTGCCCCATTACACGTGACCTGTCGGATCAATAAGCTGTGGTTGTTGCCATTCAAACCGCAGGACACATTTAGCAACTTGCAACATCATCATTTCCAACCTGTGGAGGATTGCAAGTCCAGTGTGCTGACCATTACACCTCCGATTGCCACAGTTGGCTACGCACGGCGCGAAACGTGCGTACGCCGTGGCAGAATCCCACAAAAGTAATGCGAACGTGACGCCTTCTCGCACCACACGATAAGCCGCTTCGTTGAGTTATTCATTTGTGGCCAGGTCGCTTCTGAAAAATTAGTTAATACGTCAGCGGGCTTTACCTGGTAAGATAACGATAGTGTTAGTGATCTGCTTACCGTTTCCTATACGTTGCACCCCGGTCGTGTTTACGTATCGTTTGTTGTAACTTTCTGACCCACCCCTCCTGGACATCTGTGAAAACGAGCGTTATAGCTCATGGAATTCCTTCAGTATTTATAAAGAATGTGATGACGGTAGACACGCACACTTGTTGACGACGTCTCCCGCTGAGGTGTCGCGATGTCAGGGCCATGCTTTTAATTTTAAAAAGGCAAAAAACGACAGGAAATTACTAAATTAATTGCTATTAGTTTTGGATCTCAGGGCTCCACCTTTACCTTTTAGCTTGAGATATCACCATCTGACCTAAGCCTGCGTTCATCCTTGTTAAGATAATATAGGATGGATTCCCTCAACTCGCTTTAGAAAGGGGGATATCAATTCCAAAATCCGCACGGATGAACAGCCCTGCTTGCCGTGGTCATCTCGCAGCACCGCAGACTGGATCCTGCTCACGGACGTTGATCTCTGCGCGATCCACAAACCCCACCTCCAGAGCAGCGAATTCCAGGCGTGTTGCCACAACGGGTTTGTGTTCAACGCGTAGTAGGAGGCTTTCGCGACCAGTATCATCCATAATAGAGGTTTTTTGGGGTTAGATCGCGTAAGTATATACTTGTGTCGTTAAACCCGCCACCACCCGACACAGCCAATTAGTAAGGTTTGTCAAGTAAACAGAACGTGCCAATTTGTTACTAGTACAGCACACCGCTTGTGTGTTGGAGAGCAAAGTCACAACATTTACAATCTGAGCAATTACCTCCGAAAGATAGCCGGTTTCATAACCAGCTAAGGACGGCGCTGCGTCGACTGTTAGACTGAGGCAATGTGGCTTAAGATGAAGACACGCTGTGTTCGCACGCTTCGGGCGTCAGGGTGAGCGGGATAGATCGCTGCTGTGATGAAACCTTCACAGCCAACACGGGCATCGCATACTTACCGCCACTTTGTGACTGTGCGGCAATGCTTGCAAAGCTGTGATACGAAGCCAGGGCCTGGGGTAATGTCAGCGGTAGACAACAAATGAAGTCTAAGACTCAGAAATGTTCTTTTCCTAGCTGTCTGTGTTTATTAAGGAGCAGCGGTGCGTTGGTTACTGGGCCGCTTGCTGCTGAGATAATTCCCACGGCGGCAATGAACGTTTTGCTTTAAACAATTTCACGACAGTTACCTTTCGGAGGTAATTGCGAAAGCATTTTGCCAGCGTGAAATAAAATGTAACGGCCGGTGTTGGCCGAGCTTCACAAACAAATATCTGGGGTGGAAGCCACCTGGTTCCTACCTCCCTGTACTTTGACAGAATTGTACAACACGAGGAAGCATTGTTGACAACACTTGCAGGAACAACGTGAGGAATCTCTGCCCGCACGTGGCGAGATGTTAACTTCCTCGCCTGGTCTACAGGAGGTCGTGGGTTCCATCCCGACCCTGACGCCTGCTGCTGTATATTTGGAGTTTGCGTGTCTCTCTCCCCGTGATCGCGTGGATTGTATCCGGGTCCTCCGGTTTTATACTTCCACGTTTAGAAACACGCGGTCAGAGTATTTGGCTGCTATGAATGTCCACGTGATAAGCCACTTCGTTGAGCTACCATTTGTTGCCAGGTCGCTTCTGAAAAAGAGCTACACAGCTTAGTGGGCCTTACCTGGTAAAGATTTAAAAAAACAAGTGAAACACACTATCGACAAACGCGCCATCCATGCACATCCTGGCGGTGCCGGTGCGATCCGTAACAAGCATGTACTGCTGCTTCTTCTCGAGGAGCCCATTCTAAACTGTTGTGTTTCCTTCCTGCCATACGAAAGAATAAGAAGATCATTCAACGTAAAACAGTGCAAGAGCAATTGCTAATCCATCACTCGACGATTCATTCCAGCCACTCTCTCACCGGCATATCCTCGCCTCCTTATCACTCTTCTTTCGCTAATACTACGATGTTTGCTGTCCCTGTGATCTCACGCATTGATTCCTCTCGCCATGTTGAGAACTCCGTGTACAAGAATGGCTGTGGTCGCCTAATCCATACTTCGTTCAACCACCGTACAGCAGGTCAAAACACGTCCCCTTGTGGCCAAAATACCCTCGAGATGAGCTGTCTCTCGCCGAGGCCTACCTCCAGCAAGCAGCATGAGCGGGTAATTTCAGGGCTGCACCTTTACCTCCTGAAGATACAAAATAAATGTGAGGTGGCTGCGTGGCTTATGGGGCGAGTGTCACGGGCAGAGCGGTAATTCAGCACCACATGTCCTGGTTTCCAATTAGGGGTTTGCAGCCGACTGCAATTAAACTGTTCTCAAAAAACCTTAGCGAGTTGATGGTCTCATCCCAGTCATCAGTGACCACACAAAAAAAGCTATCCTGTCCACCACCGCGACATTCACGGTTTCAGAATTAACACGTTTGGGTTTTTTTTTATTCGACAAAACCCTTCGCCACAAAATAAAAAATGTGTCCTGGCGAGTGTGGATCAGCACCCTGTTCTGCAATTGACTTCAGAAGTAGCTCTCTGACGTAGTTATCCTGGAGCGATTCTCTAAGAGTTCGATGCTGTCCCTGGTTGCTGTGAAAAATAAAAATGGGAGTAATGGTCATCTCATGATGCTGCTGAAACAAATTGACTATAAATACTCACGCCACTGCTGCCGGAAGGGCCTCTACTGGAGGGAGTTCTAGACGGCCCCTCTAGAGCGGGTCTTTTGCCTACTCTTCCACACCGGTCAGACGTCTTGAAAAAAGTGCGAGTACCCCCACTTTACCCCACGACACGTGACTTTGCCGATTGCCTCACTGCGGTTGATAAGAGAGGGGGGGGGGGTAATAAACGCGCCGATCATTTCAACTGCCGGTGGAATAAGCGAAACAACTGCAATGAAAATATCCAAAAATGCACTTGCGCCAAATGAAGTCAAACCTATGAAGCTGTTTCAAGTAAATCGGGAGAAGCATTCCAAGCCAGCCTCCACAGCTGCCTTGTTTGTTTGTTTGATTTTCTAACGAGAGACATTTACAAGGATTTCCGTCGTAAAGAAATAGAAATGCAGATCAAGGAGCACATTATTGTAATAGCGAAACGTGTCAGTGGCTCATGACAGCTGGATATGCTGCAAAAGAGAAAAGTGAAAAAAGACAAGCGTGTGAGCTTCCCGAGATGGTTTCTAAGCTCTAACATTTGCAATTCCAAATTGAAGCATTCAATATAAAGGAAAATGATTCTAAAGGCAGTATTAATAGAATATTGTATGGTTGGCGGAGCGTTTTCAAGGTCATTGGCGCAGCCCCACTGATGTGTTTCAAATGGCTCATGACTTAAAGCCACTGCTGCTTATCACAAAGCCATAACGTGTTTATCCTCAAAGTGGGAATGCTGCCGTGGTATAACGGCTGGCAGACTGGACTCGCCTTGACCCCGAGGTTCGCTCCTTCAATTCAATCTCCCGGCGTGGCAGTATCTGTAACAATGGACACGTTTTTATTAAATCCCCATTCCCGTCTGTCGATCCAGCAGCTATGTATGTACGTGGAACTTATTTTGCATCGTACGTAGCCAACCGTGCTAATCGGAGGTGTGTACACCACAGAGTCAAATGGCAGGACACGCGCAGTGGGGTGAAGTGTGGTTACTCCCATCTTCTCCAAGACGTCTGGCCAGTGTGGACGAGTAGGACAAATACCTCCTGAAACTCCTTCCCCATGGGTGTCGAGGTAAAACAGCCTGGCTCACCAGCACACAACGAAGACTAATCACCATCTGTTTCCCATCTGTACGGGGATAGAGCGTTCCTACCTTGCACGCCTGGGGTATCTCCAGGTGCTCCGGGCTCCTCCCCACGTGTATCACCACTCGTCATTAAATGGCTAAACTTTTTTTTTTACATACAGGACCCGCCTGAAAAAAATACTCCTAAGACCCAGTGTCGCTTTCCTGGATAAATAAGTAAACACATTTCATTTTTATTTCATTCTCTATTGACCTTCCTCTCGTGGAAGCCCTTCTGCCTGCAGTGGCGTGAACAAGCGATTGCAGGGCCGCGCCTTTACCGTGACCACCTTTCTGCTCCGAGTAAATACGCGGCTGCAGGGAGAAGAGCCAAATTCTTTCTGTTATTGTTGATAATGTTGACGATGATGATGAGAACGGTGTGATTTGTGTTTGTTCTTCGCCGCCGAAATTATCTAATGCCTTTTGAACTACTTTACAAGCAGAATTGTAAAAGGACGTGACTTTATTTAAGATTCCGTCACCGTGGTAGAGAGCGCTCCAGTCGCGATCAGGAACTCACGAGCGCTGTTCCACATTTGGGCCGGAGGTCAACTCAGCAGCCCATCATCATCTTGATACAATAAGTACCACTTTGTGAAAAAGCCAGCTGTGTTTGTGCTGTCTAAGACTTGCCCACCCACCCAATATAACATGGCATTGACATCAATGTCCATCTCGGGGTTCACACCCCTGATATTGTTTGTAAATAATA